GAGACAGAGACAGACAGAAAGTGAGAAATCACCCTTGAAATGGCCAGGCTGCAATCCCTTCTCCTACATTCTCCTCTAGGAATCTTAAGCATGCATGCACACGTGCCCAGTATGAGTTTCAAGCCACCAGGTCCAAGACTTGAACTGTAGTCAGCCATGTAGGAGTCCAGAAATGTAACCACACACTGGCTGGCCCCAACGTGATTCTTCTTAGAAGCTGCATACTGAGGTACTTAGGCATAAAACGTCGCAGTAACTGCAATTCACTTTCAAATATCTCAGCAAAAACTAAACACATAGACTCACAGACATGGGGTATTCCTAAAAAACTGGTAGTAAGAAAAAACTGTGGGGGTCAGCCCCATAGCTCAGCATTTAAGGGAATCGGATCCCACGAAGCTGACCACAGTTGAAACTGCAGCCCCTGTAGATTGAAAAATACACCTAGTGTGTGTGCCTATGTGCCCAAAATTCTGCCATGAAAGAGGAATGGAAGGAAAGAGATTGCAGCATTATCACACTACAGTGGGAGGGCGGGGTGCCCTCTTTTCTTTGGCAATGAAAAATTAAAGAAAATGTATGCATAGCTTTCAATTTTTCATGTGTGCCAAAATAAACTTGTACTTTAATTCCATGTTTCTATGAGCTTTTCGAAGTCCCCTTGTATTCAGATAAAGCAAATAAGAATATGTTAACAATTACTGCACCTGAGGGGTAGTTTACAACACTCACTGTAAACTCCTTGTGCTTTTCTGTTTGTTTGAAAGTATTCATGAAAAAAGTGAGCTCCATTCCCCTACCCCACCCCCCCAACCCATGTACTGGTAAGGGAACAACTGAGAAAAAACTTGAAGCTTTCAGAGACAGTGTGGATTTCTAAAGCAAAAAGAGGGAAATCATGAAAAACAGAAACGGCTAAGGAAGCTGACCCCAGGCACAGACCCGAGTTAGTCAGCCCCCTTCCGGTTGCAGAAAAGAGTGAAAAAGCAAGGTGTTTGTTTTAGGTTATCCTGGATTCAGAAAAGGACTTTTTTCTTTTTTCTCCCTGCCTCCTCAGATCTATAACTTCCAAATCATCAAATTTTCAGCATTCTGGTATTTAGGAGTCTCAATGGGAAGAGGATTGAACATCGAAGTCCTCTTTCAATTCTCTTCCTTTTTCCCTTCTCACACGGTTCCTTTATTATCTCCTTAAAGAAGATGTTTTAATTCCTCAAATCAGGAATGTTTTCCTGTGTTAAAAATTCACCATCGTCCTCGAAGCAGTTCAGCTCCTTCATGTACCTTGAAAAAATTTGACTTCAGTCTTTTCAGAAAATAAAGGGGAACTAGCGCTAATTCAGTACTAATTTTCCCATTTAGATATGAGGAAACAGAACACGGAAAAAGCTAACTACATTTTCCAAGGTCACACCGGGACCATCCACCTAAGGGCAGTGTCCCTGAAGTGCACTGAGGGAATTCCTGGGAGGCCGTGCCTTCTGAGACCTGCTAGGTCCAGCCCAGAACAGGAAATGCAAGGTCTGTGGTGGGGGCGGTGAACTCCCAGATCATGGTTCCCTAGCAGGTCAGGTACTGAATCATGAGCTAGGGCCAGAAACTACATAGAAATGGCCAGGGTTTCATTATCCTGGGTCCCAGGAGTGGCACTGGATCCCAAAGTGAAGGGAGGGTAGTGTTTAAGAAAGGCTGGTCAGGAATACGAGTGCACTAACACATGTCTTGATACATGTAGGTAGGCAGGCCCGAAAGGCAGCTAGTAGGATACCGAAACTGCTGACGACACAACCACCACACACACACTGTTGTTCTTTAGCTCTGAGTGAAAAAGCAAGTCTAATTAAATTCAGTTAATGCAAATGGTTTTAATAACTACAATTCTGAGACTGCAGGAACTACCATTGGCTGGAGAGATGACCCTACCTGGTTTATTGGGGGAGGGTGGGAGGGAGACCCGGGGCTCACAAATGCTAAGAAATTCTTCTTCCGTTTTCCCATTTTAAAACATTAATGATCTTGGAACCAGCAGTTAGCGTAATGGCTATGTTGCTGGACTCCCACGACCACAGTTGAAACTGCAGCCCCTGTAGATTGAAAAATACACCTAGTGTGTGTGCCTATGTGCCCAAAATTCTGCCATGAAAGAGGAATGGAAGGAAAGAGATTGCAGCATTATCACACTACAGTGGGAGGGCGGGGTGCCCTCTTTTCTTTGGCAATGAAAAATTAAAGAAAATGTATGCATAGCTTTCAATTTTTCATGTGTGCCAAAATAAACTTGTACTTTAATTCCATGTTTCTATGAGCTTTTCGAAGTCCCCTTGTATTCAGATAAAGCAAATAAGAATATGTTAACAATTACTGCACCTGAGGGGTAGTTTACAACACTCACTGTAAACTCCTTGTGCTTTTCTGTTTGTTTGAAAGTATTCATGAAAAAAGTGAGCTCCATTCCCCTACTCCACCCCCCCAACCCATGTACTGGTAAGGGAACAACTGAGAAAAAACTTGAAGCTTTCAGAGACAGTGTGGATTTCTAAAGCAAAAAGAGGGAAATCATGAAAAACAGAAACGGCTAAGGAAGCTGACCCCAGGCACAGACCCGAGTTAGTCAGCCCCCTTCCGGTTGCAGAAAAGAGTGAAAAAGCAAGGTGTTTGTTTTAGGTTATCCTGGATTCAGAAAAGGACTTTTTTCTTTTTTCTCCCTGCCTCCTCAGATCTATAACTTCCAAATCATCAAATTTTCAGCATTCTGGTATTTAGGAGTCTCAATGGGAAGAGGATTGAACATCGAAGTCCTCTTTCAATTCTCTTCCTTTTTCCCTTCTCACACGGTTCCTTTATTATCTCCTTAAAGAAGATGTTTTAATTCCTCAAATCAGGAATGTTTTCCTGTGTTAAAAATTCACCATCGTCCTCGAAGCAGTTCAGCTCCTTCATGTACCTTGAAAAAATTTGACTTCAGTCTTTTCAGAAAATAAAGGGGAACTAGCGCTAATTCAGTACTAATTTTCCCATTTAGATATGAGGAAACAGAACACGGAAAAAGCTAACTACATTTTCCAAGGTCACACCGGGACCATCCACCTAAGGGCAGTGTCCCTGAAGTGCACTGAGGGAATTCCTGGGAGGCCGTGCCTTCTGAGACCTGCTAGGTCCAGCCCAGAACAGGAAATGCAAGGTCTGTGGTGGGGGCGGTGAACTCCCAGATCATGGTTCCCTAGCAGGTCAGGTACTGAATCATGAGCTAGGGCCAGAAACTACATAGAAATGGCCAGGGTTTCATTATCCTGGGTCCCAGGAGTGGCACTGGATCCCAAAGTGAAGGGAGGGTAGTGTTTAAGAAAGGCTGGTCAGGAATACGAGTGCACTAACACATGTCTTGATACATGTAGGTAGGCAGGCCCGAAAGGCAGCTAGTAGGATACCGAAACTGCTGACGACACAACCACCACACACACACTGTTGTTCTTTAGCTCTGAGTGAAAAAGCAAGTCTAATTAAATTCAGTTAATGCAAATGGTTTTAATAACTACAATTCTGAGACTGCAGGAACTACCATTGGCTGGAGAGATGACCCTACCTGGTTTATTGGGGGAGGGTGGGAGGGAGACCCGGGGCTCACAAATGCTAAGAAATTCTTCTTCCGTTTTCCCATTTTAAAACATTAATGATCTTGGAACCAGCAGTTAGCGTAATGGCTATGTTGCTGGACTCCCACGTTAGTCGACCACAGTTCGCATCCCAGACCTGATGGCTTAAAACTCATGCCGGGCACATATGCGTGCGTGCCCAAGATCCTGAGAGGAGAATGGAGAAGGGATTGCAGCGTGGCCATCCCCCCTGGGGGGTGATTTCTCGCTTTCTGTCTCTCTGTCTCGCTGTCTCTCTGTCTGGCAAGCACAGGCGCCGGATAGCAAAAACTTCTAAAAAAAAATTAATGATCTCTTTTTAAAAAAAAAATTAATGATTTCTTTGTTGACTAAAATCAGCAACAGGCATAAAGCCAAGTCTATTTCAGAAAGCCAAAGGGGTTCAGTTCACAAAATTCTGAAAATTAATAAAACAATCTCTCCGTTGATAACAGCGATAGAACCCTCCACTTAACGGATTTCACTCCGTGCCCACTATACCCACGAGGTGCCACGGAACCAGGCACTAGGAAGACACCAGTTTGCTCCAAGGAACAAAGCAAGAGACAGTGCTTCTGACAAACTGTGACTCAGTGTCACCCCGCATGATCTGGGCTGAGAAAAAATGACTATAAAGCCTAAGAGGAACAGAGAGAGGGTGTTCGAAGGATCCTTTGAAGCCAAGGCTCTATTTTATGCTACAATAAAAAAGGTTTACTTCCAAAACAGAGGAAACCCTGACAACGGGCGTGAGCGCAGGACCGTCCCTAGCCTGCCATTCTCGGAACTTGGCACTCTAACCAGAGCCAGAGCGGGAGCGCCCAAAGGTGTGGCGCCGGTTCCTGCCAACCTCGCCTGCTCTTCAGCATCCCCCGGGATCAGGCCCCACTGCCCCAGGCGCCCATTGGGTGCAGGCATGGCTCAGCGTCGCCGAACCTGCTGTGCTGTCCCAACTACGAAGGCGCCAGAGGGAGACAAGGCCATTAGTTCTATTTCTTAAAGTTGGGGCAATCGAGGCCTGGGCGGAAAGCAGGGGTGGGGGGGCGGAAGTTAGCAAGGACAGACCCCGATTTCTGCAGTCGGTGTAAACTCACTTCCAAACGTATCCTCCCCCCCACCCCCCCGCAGAGGGCCGTGATGTGGGAAATTCTCCAAAAACTCGTTTCCAAAGAGAGTCGGCCAAAGGTCACCCTCTTCACGCTCGGGCCGGGGGCCACTGGAGCTGCCACCACGGGGTCGGGGGCCTGGCTCTGGCGTGCGAGGGCACCCCTGCCAGGGTCTCTGCCGGAGCGGGGAGCGCCGCCTCCCCTCCCAGGCCCGCCAGGTCCTCCCCGCGCGTCCCTCCCAGGACGGGCCTGGCGCACTTACCCCCGGTTAGGACCCTTGGGGATGAACCACGGCACGACGAAGCCGACGAGGCCCCAGAACACGCTCATCACGATGAGGGGCACCGTCAGGCCGTGATACGCCATGCTCGCCGCCGGAGCTGCCAGCCCCTGCCTCCTCGCCTCGCTCCGCTGCGGTCCCACCCGGAAGTGTCAACACTAGCCCCGTGACCAGCGCGCGCAAAGCCCCGCCTGCCGCGCCCCACGTGACGCCCGGCCGGGCCCCGCCCCCGCCTGGGCGGTCTGAGAGTTACAACTCCTTTGACGGATGTCTGTGACCCCAGAGCTAAGGTCCAGTCACCAGGGGCTCAGCAGAGTTGGGAACTCCCGCCCTTTCAGGCGAGGAGTGTAGTTACCCACGATTCATCTACCTCTTGTGCCCTAGGTAAAGACCTTAATGATAGAACTTAACAGCAGGTTGCTATTCTGAATTCCTCTGTGCCCCATGCTAGCCTCCGGGCTCAAGTGCATGAAGTGGCCTTGAATCCCCAGTCTGTAAAATAGTCCTAAGTGTTATCCCCACTTTAGTTGAAAAACCTAAAGCCAGGAGGAAGGTTAAGGTTCGTTTGGAAGGTCACATGGTTAGTAAGTGGCAGGGCCAGGATTCAGCCTCTGTGGCTCTGATCTTCAAGGCCAGAACTTCTGGAATCTTGTGCACTGTGTTGGGGATTACAGAAATCAACTGGATGCCTCTCAGGAGTTCACGTTCTGGGGAGCAGACGGCCTTGCAGACAGGACAGGCAGTGCAGTGTGAGAATAGACAGGCATGCTCTGCTTCTCATGCCAGCCAGTCCTCAGGTCCTCAGCGGGTCTTCCACAGGAGTATGGGGGCTGGGGCAGCAATAACAACTTCCTTCCAAAAGGGAGTGTCCCAGCTTCAAGTCCCGGGGCCTCCTTGTTCACATCCAGCACACCCAGGCTGGCTGAGGCTGGGAGAGATCCTGGTGTGATGACTCTGTTGGGGGTGCCCCCCATAGAAGAGATAAACTTAAAAAAAAATAAAGCTCATTAAAAAAAGAAAAAAGAAGAGGAGTAGCAATTAGAGCACTAAAGAGAAGATAAACATAGAATTTCAAAGGGGTTGGGCAGAGACACAGAGGAGAAACACAGTGCTCGGCAAGGCTGACGCACATGGAAAGGTTCTGGGTTTGGGTCTGCAGACCCAAAGAGAGAGGGCACACATGTGCCCATGATCCAGGTCTGGCTGGGGCTGGATCATGGCATTAGAACCCTGCTGGGGATGCTGACTGTCCGTCCCTGAGTCTCTGTCACCCACGGAAATAAATTTAAAAGAATGTGGAGTTTTTAATGCTTGCTGAGGATTTTCATGTTAATTATGATATATTACAACCTTGGAACAGAGGAAGAAATCAATTCTCAGAGAGGTTACGGAGTTTGAGAAAGCTCACAGCAAGATGGAAAGCAGATTTGTAAAACAAATCCGATGGGCATCACTACAGGCCAGTGTCCCTGTCATAGGCACATTTCATGATCTCCTATCACTTCCTGATTTCTTTCTTCATCAAGTAAAATGGATTCCTGAATTAAATGGGAAGTTGGGGGCCAGCAGGTGGTTTGGTGGTTAAGGCACCGGACTCCCATGTGGCCTACTGTGGTTTGAGTCCTAGACCTAGTGGCTTGGAACTCACACCAGGTGCATGCACATGTGTGCCCAAGTGCCCAAAATTCCTGAGAGGAGAATGGAGAACGGATTTTGGCATGGCCATCCCTCCTGGGGGGTCCTTTCTCGCTTTCTCTCTTTCTAGCTAGTACACATGCCCTGTAGCAAAAATCTCTCTCAAATAAATAAATGGGAAGCTGACCAATAATCAGCAGCTGTTCCAACTCTTCAACCATGATTCTAAGGCTTGACTGTGGAAGGCCACATATTAGCTCTTGCACATGAACAACTGTTTGTCCATGTTGTCCCCTTACCCTAACATGGCCATCTGCTTCTGTAAACCCGCTTGCTCTTCCCAGGAGAAAATAGCCTGTGCTAGCCGTACAGAAAACCACATCCAGGACGACATCCTGTACCTGCTACTGTCTTTGCTAACTAGCCCGAAACCCTTTTGTTCAGCAATGTAACTGCTTACGTGGAAACCCCACTCCCCTCAGAAATAATTAACCTGCTTCATTCAGCTTCTATAACTGCTTGCATAGAATCCCCTGGTAATTGACCCCCTATAAAAAGACTACTCAAACTTCGGTCAGGGCTACAGTTCTGATGCTAGGCCCCCGTCTCCTTCGTGCTCATATCGTTCCTCCCAAGACAGCCCAGAAGAAATTCTGCTGTGATCGGTTTAGCCCCAGCACTGCCTTCGAGATCCATTTCATCCTGCCACGTCTCCCTTTGGAGCTGTAAATGTTTTTAACCAACACTCTGCTACAGGGCAAACTCTGAGAACATGCATCGGCGGTTTAATCAATCTGAGAGCACTTTATACATAGAACGTGCTCAGTAAATAATGCAACTGAACTGTGTAGTTAAGAAAGGGTGAAATCAGCCAGAACGGTATTACGGCTCAGTCCATTTTTTCCCATTTATTTTCTATTTACTTGTAATTGTGGTAACACATGCCACAGGGGCCACGGTTGGTCAAGTGGGATCCAGCTGTGTACACTTAAGCACGGCCCAGTAAGGCCAGCCCCATCGTAACCATCTTCCAGTGTACCGTTGAGTATGGTCACATTGCTGTGCAAGCAATCTCCAGAACGTCTCATTTCCATGAAGTGATCCCTCATCCTCCTCTCCCAATCCCTGGCAACCACCATACTACTTTTCTTTTTTAAAAAACAATGTCCCACTCTGTCACTATCCTCCTGCCTCAACCTCCTGAGCAGCTGGGACTACAGGTGAACGCCACCATTCAGCTTTTAGGGTGGGCTGGGAATCTAACCCAGACCCTCGTGTGGTCCCAGCCTGTGTAACGGTCTTACTGGTGGGCACCGCCATGGCTGGGCTCTTAACTTTCTGAGTCTGACTCTTGTGTTAAGTGGAATTACACCAGCATTTGTCTCTTTGGGAATGGCTTATTTCACTTAGCAACGTCCTCAAGGTTTACCCAGGTTGTCCATGTGTCAGAATTTTCTTCCTTTTTAAAGCTGAATAATACTCCATTGCTGGAAAAGCTGTCCCTCAGTATCTGTGGGGAACTGGTCCTCAAGAATCCTGGAACCAGATGTGGAAGTCTCTTATACAGGTCGTCAGAAAAGTCATGGTGTATTTTTGATTTTTTTATGCAAAAATGCCTCATTGCCTTTCTGACAACCCAATATATACTATGGTATCTGCATATAGCCTAGGGACATCTCCAGTATACTTAATATTATCTCCAGGTAACTTATAATACCTGACATAGTGTGAATGTTATGTATTTGGTAAGCTATATTTTCTGTTACTTAAAAAAATTTACTTTCAAGTTTTTATATCTTTTATGAGCAGGACTGAGAAGAGAAACAAGAAGCCTTCAACAGGGCCTTGTCACACCACGAACCCCTTGCCCCAGCTCTCCAGCTAGCCAGGATTTTGGGTGACCCTGGGAGTATTCCAGGTCGACCTGAGTTTTGAACCTGAGGTTGGCTGTGTGGCTTCTAGCAATGCAGATCGAGACACTACTGCCCACACCACCAAGGCTGGGCATGCTTCTTTTTCAAATGTTTTCTGCCTGGGGTTGGATGAACCCACCGATGCCAAACCTGCAGATACAGGGCTGACTCTAGTTATTCCTTCATGCATTGACAAGTTTGATCTCTCCCCTTTTTGACTATGTTGAGTACTTTGTCATCTCTTAAGTCAAGACAAATTATTTTCTCAATTGAACCCTGTAAGCAGGTTCTGTAAGCATGTGTCGGGCATATAGGGATGCAGGTCTCCAGAAAGTTTTGTCTAAAGCTGTTCACTCACTGTGAATGTCTCTGGTCTCAGCAGTCCATTCCTGGGCTTGTACTGACCAACAGCTCCCTCAGCCAATCTGTCAAAAACATTTTATCAAATGTTCCAAATGAAAACTGTGGTACGGTTAGGTAGGTACTGCTGACTCAGGGACCCACCAAATGACATATTCTTTGCCCTCGCTGTGCTTAAAGTCTTCAGGAAGTAAATCAGACTCTGGCAGTGCGGTTCACAGACCCCTGCAGAGTACTTGAGATTGTCCCAGCAGGTCTGGAAGGGCCTCTTTTTTCCAGTTATAAATCTGCATGAGGCTAAATTTTCTTCCTATTGGGGCCAGCAGTTAGCGTAATGGCTATGTCGCTGGACTCCCATGTAGTCAACCGCAGTTAGAGTCCCAGACCCGGTGACTTAAACTCACACCGGGTGTGTGTACGTCCATGTCCAAGATCCCGAGAGGAGAATGGATTGCGGCATGGCCATCCCTCCTGGGGGGTGATTTCTCGCTTTCTGTCTGTCTTTCTGGTGAGCACATGCGCCCTATAGCAAAAACTTCTCCAAAAAAAAAATTCTTCCTATCCTTCATCCGAAACAACACATTGCCATGGATTGAATGCAGCACTGTCTCCTGGTTAAGCCACATATTAAGGAATCTGCAAAAATCTAACACAATGTCACTTTTCTCACTTTATTTGTTGTGGAAAACATCATTATTTTCCATAAAATGTTATTTACGTTAACACATTATGAGTTTATTATTGCCGTTAAAATTTTTTTTCCACAAGGCCAAGAACCCTACACACAGATAAAGTGAAAAAGCCCCTTCCCATGGGGGATAAAGGGGGATAGCCGTGCTGCAATCCCTTCTCTACTCTCCTCTTGGGATCCTGGGCATACACACTCAGGTGTGTTTCTCAAGCCACCAGGTCCGGGATTTAAACCATGCAGTCAGTGATGTGGGGATTCAGTCCCTTTAACCACCATGCCACAGGGTGGCTTTAACTGTTCAAATGTGGACAACATGCTTTTCATAAAGACTTCTTCATGTATCAAACTTTTAATAAACATCCAATTGTATATACATCAAATATTTCTGAAAGTGGGGCCAGAAATAAAACAATGCAGGGAACCAGCAGTTAGCGTAATGGCTATGTCGCTGGACTCCCACGTAGTCGACCGCGGTTCGCGTCCCGGACCCGGTGGCTTAAAACTCACGCCGGGCGCGTGTGCGTGCGTGCCCATGATCCCGAGAGGAGAATGGAGGAGAAGGGATTGCGGCGTGACCATCCCCCCTGGGGGGTGATTTCTCGCTTTCTGTCTCTATGTCTCTCTCTGTTTGACTCTAGTTATTCCTTCATGCATTGACAAGTTTGATCTCTCCCCTTTTTGACTATGTTGAGTACTTTGTCATCTCTTAAGTCAAGACAAATTATTTTCTCAATTGAACCCTGTAAGCAGGTTCTGTAAGCATGTGTCGGGCATATAGGGATGCAGGTCTCCAGAAAGTTTTGTCTAAAGCTGTTCACTCACTGTGAATGTCTCTGGTCTCAGCAGTCCATTCCTGGGCTTGTACTGACCAACAGCTCCCTCAGCCAATCTGTCAAAAACATTTTATCAAATGTTCCAAATGAAAACTGTGGTACGGTTAGGTAGGTACTGCTGACTCAGGGACCCACCAAATGACATATTCTTTGCCCTCGCTGTGCTTAAAGTCTTCAGGAAGTAAATCAGACTCTGGCAGTGCGGTTCACAGACCCCTGCAGAGTACTTGAGATTGTCCCAGCAGGTCTGGAAGGGCCTCTTTTTTCCAGTTATAAATCTGCATGAGGCTAAATTTTCTTCCTATTGGGGCCAGCAGTTAGCGTAATGGCTATGTCGCTGGACTCCCATGTAGTCAACCGCAGTTAGAGTCCCAGACCCGGTGACTTAAACTCACACCGGGTGTGTGTACGTCCATGTCCAAGATCCCGAGAGGAGAATGGATTGCGGCATGGCCATCCCTCCTGGGGGGTGATTTCTCGCTTTCTGTCTGTCTTTCTGGTGAGCACATGCGCCCTATAGCAAAAACTTCTCCAAAAAAAAAATTCTTCCTATCCTTCATCCGAAACAACACATTGCCATGGATTGAATGCAGCACTGTCTCCTGGTTAAGCCACATATTAAGGAATCTGCAAAAATCTAACACAATGTCACTTTTCTCACTTTATTTGTTGTGGAAAACATCATTATTTTCCATAAAATGTTATTTACGTTAACACATTATGAGTTTATTATTGCCGTTAAAATTTTTTTTCCACAAGGCCAAGAACCCTACACACAGATAAAGTGAAAAAGCCCCTTCCCATGGGGGATAAAGGGGGATAGCCGTGCTGCAATCCCTTCTCTACTCTCCTCTTGGGATCCTGGGCATACACACTCAGGTGTGTTTCTCAAGCCACCAGGTCCGGGATTTAAACCATGCAGTCAGTGATGTGGGGATTCAGTCCCTTTAACCACCATGCCACAGGGTGGCTTTAACTGTTCAAATGTGGACAACATGCTTTTCATAAAGACTTCTTCATGTATCAAACTTTTAATAAACATCCAATTGTATATACATCAAATATTTCTGAAAGTGGGGCCAGAAATAAAACAATGCAGGGAACCAGCAGTTAGCGTAATGGCTATGTCGCTGGACTCCCACGTAGTCGACCGCGGTTCGCGTCCCGGACC